ATTCACTTTTTGCTTTCACATCTAACACGAACACTCGAATAGTCGTCCGCAGTGCAAGTCTTTACAGCAAACAACAGAGATAACCAGCAAAGATCTCTCGAACTTTATCAGTCTCACTACAAGCCTAACATCTCACAATACACACATACATGCTTATAACCTTATTACACCTATTCTCTGAAGTATACATGGCCTCTCAGCTCAGAGAGACGATACATTTTTTCACTTAGGTGTGCACAAGTATTTCTCCACCGCTGTTTTTCTACGTCACTCTATTTTGCTTGCTAGAACTTAGACTGTCGTAACGTAAGAGTGATCATAGTATATTTTCGATAGGAAACCCTAGAATAGAAAAACTTTTATAGTTTAATACATTCGTATGAGTCTGATTTTCGCTTGAAAAGAGTTGACCGTATTGCCATAGGATTCATTTATAGACGCCTACCACTCAAGTAAGGATATAGACTTCACCTTACCCAAAATTCAAAATTTTGCTTTGGTTTTAAGTGTGTTATTTTGGGGTTCCATTCCTGGCAATGCGAACCGTATTCCGGATTCCCGAGTTCTTCTGGCAAAGAGCTCGACAAGCAGGCTTCATTTCATTGACAGTCAATACTACTCAACATGGTATTGTTAACTGCTTCTTTTTGAATCCAAAGCACACGTGGCATCTTGTTCAACTAATTAATTTTGCGATACGATTCAGCAAGTGCTTACTCTCAGGATTCGCAGATTTACTATGCTGATAACGTCTTACACAGTGATTATCTGTTGATGCATAGATAATGGAAATATTTCAAAAATACAACTGACAATCAATATACTGTTACATGCTTGTGAAAACGACAGCACAACTTAAAAATCATTCAAAAGTAACATTATCCGAGGTTGCTTGTTGATGGTCTGAAAATAATTAATTGGTTGAACACTTTCTCACGCTCCATCAACTTCGTCTGAATCGTTGACACCCGAGGAAACACAGCGTTAGCCATGACAATGTAGGTGAAAAGACTTACCCAGTGGCCCGCTTATCGTGAAAACGGAAGAAGGTCCATAAGACCATTTGTGCAGTCCCTTCAAATTCTACTCGTTTGTTAGGGACAGCCCATGATCATATTTCATAAGCTTGTTTCTTGAAATCTCACATTGAGCTTTTAGGTCCATATATGAGGGCTGATTTCGAATATCACGGCAAGTGCAAAAAAGCTCGCTCCATTCGTGCATGGCAGCAATTAGCGTATCAGTGTAAGTATCATTGTCTGTGGCAGCTCTTCACTCCACCTACACCCACACCCTTATTAAGTCGACAAACACAATGAGTGCAATATCTCTTGACAGAAACATTCAACTTATCAAAGGGTTAATCTATTTGATAAATATCTAAACTATTAATTGTTCGTATTATTAAATAATGTCTATCAATCGTAATTGCTAAATTTCGTAATTCTTTTTTATATTCAATACAAGTTAATTTATTATTGCATTTATTATCAATAAAAGTTAATTCATTATTAAAATATTTACTAAGTAACCATCCAGTTTTTGATATTTGTCTATTGATAACTGATGTTAATGCCCAGTAGAGATCATCAGCACCACTAAAATAAATTATTCTCAATGGTAACATATTATAAATTTCAATAAGAATAAGTCGACGTCGTCGTTGAATACCAACAGTTAAATTTTGATTTCTTTCAGCTATTAATAAACCTAAACATTCACCAGTTGGATCATTTTCAATTGCACAAATAGTATCAGTTGTATATAAACCTAATTGATCGAGTGAAAAATTTTTTTCTGTTCTAGAATTATTTCGTTCCCATTCAGAAAGTTTATAATAAACTAATCTCTGTTTCTTTGTTAAACTTAATAAACATACAAGCCATAAATCAGTTTGGTAACATGTAAATAATTGTAATTGTTCATTGGATTGAAATATTTTTTTAATTGGTATTAATTCATATGAAAATAATGTTAAAAGTGTAAATAATCGTGATGTCATTATTAAATATGAACGATGATATGATGACCAACGAATTTGTTTTATTGAATCGTACGTATTTGTATTCCAAGATATTTTTTGAAGTTGACCATCAATATTATATAAAGTTAAATATTGTCCACCATAGATAAGAAATGAATATTCTCCAGCACCCAATGTCGAATCATTTTCACAATCAAATGAATTAATCAATGCCTTTTCATTCAGTAAAGTAAAAAAGGAACTATTTAATGATTTTGATATATCTCTAATAGTATGTCCAATAAAAGAGTTTGAATAAAAATTTTTTTTTATTTCTGGTGGTATTTTATTGAATTGAAGATACATTTTTTCAATATTATTCGATTTGATAAAGTGTAGTGCAGATGAATTAAGGCTAAGTTCTTTGGAGTTCTTACTATCATTTTTTACTAAATGATTTTTAAGCATAATAAAAAAATTAATTTTCGAATAATCATAATAAACTAAAACGCGCTACTAATAATACTATTAAAAAGAATTCAATCGATTCTATTTGACAAGTGAGCAATATGAGTTTTTTCTAATACCAGAGTCTTACATCGAATTCCGAGAGTGATCATATGATCCGAGCATGATCAATTATCTTGCGTACCAATATAGACAGTTCCATTTTAAGTAATAAACGATATTATATTACTTTATCAATTCCTAAATAAGTTTCGAATCATCAGAAAGACATCACATTAAAAACGTGATAAAAAAAAAAGTATTTATGCTAGTAAAAAATAATTTTCAGAACATCACGTACTCAAAACTGGAAAAAGAGTTGTTTTCGGATTCGAAGTCTAAAAGTTCGTCTTCACAGGACTTTAGCCAATAGATATTCCTATTTAATTCTAGTAGAGTTTTTGTTTAAAGAAACATTCTCCAGAAGATGCATCGGATAGTATAGATGGTGAGGATAATTACAAAAATCTTTTAACTACATCATAGAAACTGAGGATGAGAGCTAAAATTAGGTATGTCACAATATCAATACCATTCAATGTCAATACCTCTATACCATATTGGTATTGTGACAAATCTAGCTGAAATCGTTTAACTAGTTTCTATGTTCCTTTACTGTAAAAATCAGGCCGTATGCCCTTCAACGGTTTTCTGTGTTAATAAACCTTTTTTGAGTGAGGCGCAAGAAAATGCAAAATTTAAACGCAATTTTTTTCACGATATTTATGCATGATCAAATAGAGCTCGTCGAGCTGAGCAATAGTATATGAATTTTATACTCTCAGAAAAACTTTTAAGGACGAAAATTAACAAAGAGTATTACTCTTAAAATCCCTCAAAAACTACCTAAAGTTGAAGAATAACTAAAAAAATCTTCGTGTTGGTGACCTTGGATACTTTTAATAATGTTTTACTTTTATTCTAGATGAAAAACTGAATTTAATACGAAATGCCATTCGAGCTTTACTCAATGACGAAAGGCAATGCGAAACGCCCAGTATCAATAATTCAAAAACTCTATTAAAAACAAACAAATATTTTTGTTTCTAGAATTTATTGTAAGATGCTTTTCCCGAATAGATAGTTACATTTTATTCGAATCAGGCATTTTTTGTTGTGATAAACTGAAGTATTTTTTTCGATTAATGGACTGATCGAAGCGTAAAAAGAATTGACAATCAGATATGGCAAAAACTCATCACTACGAGAACTCTATCAACGCGTATCAACATATTTATAAAGCACACTGTCGAACGATCGTGTAATTATCTATTTCATTCATTGTTTAGAATCACTTGTCTTTATAGTTGGTATGGATAAAATTAGCTTATCGAGTAGACAAGAGGCTAACTTTTTATCCATTATTAAATGATGTGTAAACTTAAATCAAAAGATTACTGATTGCCTTTCTCTGTACAAGGATATGATTCATGTCAAATACTATTAATGGACTCTCATCACGAATATCACTTAGTGCTATTCCATAATGGTAGCAACCCAGTTCTGACTCCATATCAATCAACAGATCTGGACGAGATCTATCAAACGATGCTATAAACTTACAGAAAAGAAAAGAGAATATATGTCTCTTTTTTGAAATATTCAAAACAACTGAATGTTTAGCATTGTTATATATATACTTAATTTATGGGATAGAAATTTTCCTTGATTGAAATGTATAGATTTACTCTATTCTGTGTACCAATGGATAGTTCTCATCAAGACCTATCAAATGAGGATGAAGAATCTATATAAGAGTGTAGATGTGGGGTATGGGTGAAAAGAAGATCCATGCCCACATCCACACGCTTATAAAAGTTTGTTTGCGAGTTGATTGAACAGCTTTATCAGTTAAAATAAGGTTTATATACTCTCAAAACGTCTTGAATTTATCGTAGTTGAGAATGAAAACTAGAAGAAAGTTGATTGATGCCAAGAGATTGAGAGAAAACAATATTTTTTCAAAAGATTCGATGAAATTCCAGTTGAAAATATAAGCCAACCATTAAATAAGAGAACTGAATTCTGTTCTTCAATTCAATTACAAAACAATAAACTTCGTTTATCCCGTACTCTTTTTTTTGTTGAAGGTTATTTTCCATTGGAATTTTTTCTTATTCATGTTGCATTTACCGTGTCTGCTAAAATGTATTATGCACCAACATTTTATGTTCAAATAATTTCATAAAATAATTCAATCGGCAAAAAAAATCAGATTAACATTTAGACAACCACTATCTAAGATTTGTAGAGTATGATCATGCTAGTTCTGAACTGTGAGGATATTTGAACTATAATAAATATCATTTGCTAACAATCTCTCATATTTTATGAAACATGACATCGTCAACACAATGTAGATTATATTGGCACGTTGTGCGCGTTCAGTCAACATGATCGATCATAGGCTTTCCAACACGCGTAAACGTACATTGCAGTCTCATATATAGTTGAGCAGAAATTACCAGCCGAAGCGACACAAATGTTACTACGGCAGTGGAAACCGTCATGTCACCTGCCGATATCGCAAATGGATGATCATGGAACAAAAACCCGACGAAAGCCATTGAGTTGGTGTAAATTAATCATTTCGGCCTTGATTCCATGTGTCTTAGGTATCTTTACAATTCTTTTTACGTTGCAACAACAAGATCTCTCGAAACAACAACAACAACAAGAACGTTGGCATCAACTTGATTCTCAACGGCAAACATCGTTCAATGCATATATTGATGACATATCGAAGTTTCTCGCACAAGAAATGGCTATACATCCAGTGATCGACAAAACTTCCCTGCTTTATATCCGAACGAAAACATTAACTGTTTTACGAACTTTGGATGCTGAACGTAAAAAATACGTTCTTTTATTTTTGTATGAAAGTGGTCTGATTCGCAATTCTGGTCTTGACTTGCGTGGCGCTGATCTAAACAATGTTCAATTGATTGGACCGTACAAATTAGACAATTTATATCTGCCCGATGTGTTCTTGTCAAATGTCACATTTGTTGATTGTCATTTGAAAAATGCAACTTTCGATCGATCAGTTATGAATAATGCACGTTTCATTCGATCAACATTAGAATCAGCTTCATTAGGCGAGACTGTCTTGAATAACACGGATTTCACAGGAACTACGATCATTTTTGCGAATTTCACTGGAGCATTTCTAATCGGAGCAAATTTTCTCAGTGCAGAAGTAGTTCAAGGTCTCACATTTACGAATAGTGATTTATTTGAAGCTCATTTCACTGAAGAACAATTTCAAGGGCAACGTGCCACTATGTTAGCACATAATTTTAATCACGCACGCTTACCTAATGGAACTTTCGGACCGATTGATGCAAAAAAGAATCTCATTCAGAATGGTGATGCTGAATGGAACGTAAGATATCTGTTTTCTTCTGAAATCATGCACTAGCTGACGATAATTTTTCTTTTGTTTTGTCCAGTGTTCAACAGAGAAACCAGAGCCTTGGTTAATGGCTTATACCAATACCACATTGTACACTCGTGATGTAAGAAATATTTCAGTTATAAACATGACATTCGGCGACTTTGATAGAGGCAAATGTTCATTCGCAGTGAAGGTCAAAACTCGAGTTACTCAAATCATCGATCTTCGCCTTTATTCACTTCTCATTGACGCCGGTCAAGGAGTCTTTGCTGCATCAGCGCTTATGGGTTGTGATGTACCTGGCAATAATGCATACATGTCTGTGAGTATGCAGCGTTCTGATGGATTGATACAAGGACAACGATTGTATTTAAGTAAGAACAATATGAAGGCAATCATGTTTCTTGCATGCTATTATTTTATTTCGATTCTTTAAGGCTCAGATGGAATCAAGTTGGATGATACATTTGTGATGCAACCGCATCAAATACGAGTACAACGAATGATAGAATATACACGTCGTGTCACCATCACTTTCGGCGTAGAAACATTGCCAAAATCAGGTACTTGGTGTTACTTTGACCATATGGCATTCATCGTTCGACAGACAATCTGAACACAATGAACATTTTTCGAAGCAAACGATTGTGCTCCTTCAGGCAATATTCTATCATCTGCGCTTTTCTGAAACATACATATCCGATTCGATTCAAATCCATTGAATAGAAAGATCAGGATCGAGATTTTCGAAATTCCGATAGAGGTTTCTATCTTTGTTCACTTCAATTAGTGGTGAACTCTTTATTTTATATCATAGTCGACCAAGAGCTACAGTAGGTATTCAGATGACAAGTCCTATTTGACGGTGGGTGCGGTGCGGTTGTAACTATTATATTCGTTCACACACCACATCCACATCCTGCAATATATATCAAGAGTCGTATACTTTCCTAGATATATTTTTACCATTTTGTAGTCGTTGAACAATTCTATCTACCCTACACCTATCGCTCTTTGCAGCATAATTTTACTGTTAGGATCCTGATGAACATTCCCATTGATCATACTCTAAAAAGTTCTGCAAAGTTGCTCACAGAGAGAGAAGCAGTACAGTATTGAAGGGAGTAGCATGAGCTCAATGAAAGAACCAATAAACAGAGTGGTTTTCAAATAGGATCAATGTGGGCATCGTCCATCTTTCGTCCTTCGGAATTTGACGCACTAAAAAATTATTAATACAATTAACTCTCTCGGTTGATCGATAATAAACAACATTCTCGCTTCAACTCATTTTCAATGAAACTATAACAAATAGAGAACAATTCTCTTCAATTTGAAATCATTTTTAAGTCAAAGTCTTTCAGATAATGTCCCCCAATGCTCAGGCTCTAGATTTTATGTTTTCTTTCAAAACCTCTTCCAATGAAGTCTTTTTACAGCAAAACATAGTTCCAAACCAATACTGGAAAAGTATAAAAAGTTGCATTTATTTAAGAAACTTTTGACATTGATTGATATTGAATATGCTGTACGAAAGCGATTTTTCTCTTGCATGCCTCCCTGACCGCATCTTTCTTTCCAACTTTGTCCTCATCTTCTGGACTAAAAGAATTATCTATTGACGCAACTTTGTAGAAAAATTTTTCTCCACAAGATGTATAGCTTCCGGAATAACATCAACTAGCATCATAACTAATCTAAAGAAGACGATACATCATCATGTTCTCAATAGAGACGATAATATATCCTCTAAAAAAAACAGTCCAGTCTTTTCACAGTGATGATAATTGGAAAATATCATCTTTCCGTACAATAGAGTTCCTTAGAATTGCATGCAAAGTGTTTCGCATAGACAGCTGTACCGAAAAATAATATGAAAACAACATAAACAGCTTCAAAACATGTCTTCAAAATCATGAAAAGATTCTAACAAGGCAAGAGTGTGGATACGAGCTAACTGAGTACTCATATCCTTGCCCATAAATACACCCTCTTTCTAGAACAACAACACCATACTAATACTCGCAACTCAACGAAAGCCATTCGAACAAAACCTACGACTTATTGTCGTTGTAAGTTTTGATCTCCGATTTGGGTTTTGTAAATATAGTTTACTTGTGAAATGTAGTCTGTAATATGTATAGGCAGAACGTCACAAACAAATTACAAGAAAAACGTGCTCTCAATCGATGGAAGGAGAAATGAATGTTGAATCATGCTCAGCATTCTGTCGCAATGAAGAACAAACGAATTTCGTACTTTTTATATGTATGCGACAAATGCACATGACTTGTGCAAGAGATGTGTCGAGTTCGAATTCGAAGAGCATGCGCACATATTCCTACCAGAAAAAAAAACTCGATTACAGTGCACAAGTAAAAGAAACTGAGTTTCGAATAATTTAGTGACTTCATAGCAATAAAAAAGGCATGAAAACTCATAAGTTAGCTTGTAGTCAAATAAATGTGATTTCTTATAATAAGTTCGATGGTTTGCTGATACTGAAAAGACCTTAGCATTGGAAAAGATTGAAATTCACAACAATTCCTAATTAATTGTTTTACTTGAGCAGAAAATGAAGAAGCTATAGGATATATGTATATACACAGCTGTCTTCAAAACACACTGAGCCAACAGTAAAAATTCTATTTCCAATGTTTTTATGTTATATAGCACAATTCCTGGTATCATTCTTTTGATGATAATTCTCCGACACATGAACAAAAAAATGAACTTATGAAACTGCAGTTATGTTTTTTTTTGAATGTATAGATATTAAAAATATTATCCGGTTAAATTGTAATATATTCATATTACATTATTGAAACAAAAATACGAGACCAACTAGCGTTGCGAAGTGGAAACCTGACATTCCCATGGAAATCTCTATTTATGGAGTGGTTGTGGAGCTTTTCTTCATTTCTGTCTACACACCCACTCATACCCTATACTACAATATGTATGTATCTGTTTTAATTTTTATGATATTACTAATCATTTTTTTTTCCTTATTAGCATATTTTTCAGTATTGACTAATGTACGCAAATATAAATCTTCTACAAAAACAGGTTCCTATTTTCTTTCGTTAATCAAATGTCAATCTTCTTCTAAATAATGTGATATTCTTCACTAATTATTTTAACTTTTCCAAATGAACAGTGTAATATATTTATAATCACAGTTTTGAATATTTATATGACTATTGAACTTTCGTTTGTCGATTTACATAGCATATAAGAACAATACATTCAATTTGTATTTTGAACATAATTTACAAGATTGAGATTGATAATTTACTTCGTTTATTTAAATACCTCAGCCTTATGAAAATGATTAATCAGCAGTATGATGAACTCTGATCGCACGCAGCCATCAGAACTAAATCGATCTTCATACAAAGATCAACACAGACCTCTTATTTAGTCAAGGATACTTCAATCTTAGCAATCAGTTTCACGATGTTTGACTCCTTGTTCCACGTATTCTTAGCATAACAGTTAATAGCAGAGTTCATCAGTTTCAAAAGAAAATTGGAATTGTTCACTCGTAGATAGATACAAAAAACATTAGCTCTATATCAAGAAGTTTTCATTTTGTTATTCTTAAAACTAAATACTTCAGTATATAAAGAGTATAAAATAAGTTTTAATTCCATCTTGAAATACTCTTTTATCACATATTTTCAGGCTACGGAGACTTGTATATATGGTGCACACAATTGCTACAGAAATACAATTATGGCCAAAATCATAAGTATTTTGGTATTATAATAGAATAGTTACAGATGAAAAAATTCTTAGTCATCGATCACACATTCACATTAAATAACTTTTAGTTTTATATTTATAACTCTTGCGTTCTATCATTTGTCAACGTCATTATGAATACGAGAAAAATATACAATCTCCTTTACTTTTGAGATCGTAATGTGCAGAAATAACGAAACGTACGAATGAATCACATACAAAGACAAAATAACTCTAATATTGACTGATGTCAGTTGGTAGATAATTACACCGTTTTACTGAATCATCTTACAGTATTCTTTTAGACTTTTATTATTTATTAAAAGAAATTCGATTTTTAAATCTCTTTTCAAGAATTACTTTTGATGAAGTAGATTTAGACGTCTAGTGCATGCATTGTAAATATCAGTTTCAAACGACATCAAAATATGCAAGAAAAGAGTCATGTAAGATAAAATCAAAACTTGTATTACACCCGTGATGTATAGTATTGTTTTGTTTATGCATAAAAACATAACTTGTAATTTCAATTATTCTTAATTATTTGTGATAACATTTTCTTCATTGAATTGCCGATCATCAAAATGCTACTGTGCTTCAGGATCACAATTGATTAAAGTTTCAACATAACCGCAAACAAGAAAAATATCAAAAAAGGCCTTTTTCCAGGTTCAAGGATAAAAATACTGTGCTCTTTTTTTTACATTCAATGCATTATGACCAATCGACCTTGAATTGATGTCTTCAATCATGGTTTGCCAAACTCTATTTTCAATCAAAATATCAGACAATAATATTGAAATTTCGATACTGATGCACATTCAATCGTTTCAAAATGAAGAAAGAATAAAATATTCAGTGGAACAAATTTTCTAAAACATCACATCATAAGATTCTTTTATTCAAAATTCAAACATATAAACTACATGATTTCGTCGTGATTGATAAACTACAAGTAATGTTCGATATTTAAAATAAATACTATAATGTATAAATATATTTAATATACGATGAATTCTAAAGGTGAGGTTTTTAAAAGAAAAAAAAAACGAACTAAATATTTCGACTAGTGAGCAGTATAAGTTCAATAAATAAAAATGGATTTTATTTCTTTGCTTTGCCTTGATTAGCAACTTCTTCAATAGCTTTTTGAACAACATCATCAGGTGCAACATAATAATGTTTAAGTGGATTTAAATTTTCATCAAGTTCATAAACCAAAGGAATACCTTAAAAATAAACAAAAATAAAAATTTAATTGTTATGATTTTTTTTTTTGTTAAATTTTATTACCTGTTGGTAAATTAAGTTGAACAATTTCATCATCAGATACTTTATCAAGATATTTAATTAATGCCCGAAGTGAATTTCCATGTGCAGCAACAAGTACTTTTTGTCCTGAACGCATAGCTGGTACAATAGCATCATGCCAATATGGTAAAGCACGTTCAACTGTATCTTTTAAACATTCAGTTAATGGTAATACACGTCGATCTAAATTCTAAACAAAAAAACACACACAACAATTATATGTATATACAAATTTTATTTTTTATTTTTAAATACTTTATATCTTGGATCATTTCTTGGATTAAATTCACTTGATGTTTCAAGTTCAGGTGGTGGAATATCATAAGCACGTCGCCAAATCTACATAACAAATAAATATATATATATATTTTTTACTTCTTTTTAATTGAAACTAACTTTAACTTGATCTTCACCATATTTAGCTGCAGTTTCAGATTTATTTTTTCCTTGTAAAGCTCCGTACATACGTTCATTAAGACGCCAATGACGATGAACAGGTATCCAATGAAGATCTAATTCTTCTTGAATACAATAAAGTGTTTTAACTGCTCGTTTTAA